TGCTGCTGCCACGGGCCTGTCTCTACCCAGGACGTCCCCACACCCTCGCAGTGTCAGGGAAATGGTCATGGTGGCGGTGACACTCCCCAGGCAGGACTGTTGAGAGAAGCTGAGAAGGGTCACACTGCAGGCAGGGGCCCGTGTGACAAGCCCCTCTCACCCCGAGAGAGCTGACCAGGCAGCTCATGAGCAGAAGCCACATCCTGAGAGTATGAGAAAGGTCCTGGCTGGGCTCAGCCACCTCACTGGCCACTGGCAACCTTTGTCGTGTGAGCCTTGCTCTCCTGGGGAGGCTGAGGCTGACGGCTGATGTGGGCATTGCTGAGGGTAACCTGTGGCCCAGTGGATGTGGCCGGGTCTCCTCAAGCTGCACTCAAAGGACCCAGGCTGCACGCCCATCTCCAGCCCAGGGCAGCTCCCCTGTAAGCTGGGTGAGCTACTGAAGCCAAGGCGGGAGGCGGCTGACAATACCTATGGCCCATGCAGAGGTGGTGAAAAGGCTGGACTCAGCAGCAACACCAAATCCCGGACCAAGCAGAAACCACCCAAGACTGAGGGGCTCGTGCCAGAGCGGTGGACACAGGTAAGAACCCAGGCCCAGGCTGTGTGTGGTGGGAGTCGTCCCTGTCCCAGGGCTCAGCACAGCAAAGGAAGACCAGCTGGGTCACCCTGGAGGCCATCTGTCCCTGTCCCACTTGCAGAGTCAGAACAGCCTCTCCCCAGTGGGGATCGTCTTTCTCTGCCAAAGCAACAGTGGTCCCTGCCCCAACCAGACTGCCCCACTCCGTGGAGTTACGGCTGCTGCTCCAGCGTCCTAACGCTGCCCAGCTGGCACTGCCTGTGCTCACCCACACCCCCCAGGCCGGCCTTCCCTGCAGCCTGGGCTTAGCCACCTTGGCCTGATTGAGCATTGAGGCCTCCTGGGCACCCAGCCCCATCACTGCACCTGCTGCTTCCAGCCCCACCCCACCGGCTCAGGGGTTCTTCCCAGCGGCGCTCATCATGAAATCAACATGCACGCAAGTCGTCTCAGGGAACTTTTTAATGAAAGTGTCCGCAGTTCTTTCCCCCACGGTGATGCATAGGTGGCTGAGCTCAGATTGCAGCTGCTAAGACACCAGCCACTTACTGAGAGAAAGCCAGGCTGCTTCAAACCCAGGGCCTGAAGCAAAAAAGCATCACTTCTGGTCAGGGAGTCTTGCAAGCCATGCCTTGTGGGAGGTCACACTGGCATCTAGGCCTTTGCCTGCATTGCAGAAGGAGAGCCGGGTCCCCTCCTGGAGAACGCTGCGTTCCCCAGCCCCTCACCAGCTTTGCCACCACACAGGCTTTCGAGGCAGGAGGCCGGTAAGACACAGCTCTAGACCCAAAGCAACCATCAGCTCTGGGGCCCTGCAGGAGAGGAGCACTTTTAGAACATGGAAAAGTGTGGTCATCCCATCATTAGACAGCACACATCCTACATAAATAAAGTCATATGGGGAAGGAGGTTGGGGAGGGAACAAAAAATTGGCACAGACATTGATAGATTGGCTTCCAGTCTCAAGGCGACAGATGCACATCATGAGACCAGAGGAGACAGAGACAAGGGCTGGATTTGGCTTTTCTAAGCAACATGTGTTCCTGCGCAGGGCTGGACGGTCGCTGAGACAGAGATGGAAGCCAGGACAGGGGAGCCCACAGGGCCCAGATAGGTACAGAGGGCAGAGGCTCCTGTTCTGTCCTCACCACCCACGAGAGTGACACTGCTTGTAAACGGTGGCTGTGCTCACCTACCAAGAAAAAAGCAAAACAAAATCCACACCGCACACAGACGCAAACAGAAAGCCGTCCAGAAGCAGAGAGAAGTGTCAGGTGCACAGCCCTGCTGTCAGTCTCCCCAATGAGCTGTGGGCTCAGCAGGAGCTGCCCATTGACACACAGGGGAAACCCACTGCTTCCACCTTGGGAGCGGTCACCAGACAGAGCCACACTAGGGGCTGGTGTCATCCAGGGACCCCACACACTCCCTTGAATTCGATCCTGCTTCCCTCTGGGCAGCTGCGTCCTTTCCTCCTGCAGGACCGTCTGGAAACTCGGCTCTGCTCTCCCTCCTCTCCTCTCTCTGCCCCAAACCCCTCTTTCTAAAAAAGTGATGCAGTGTTCATGGGGTTATTTCTTGAAAATACTTGGCGGCCTCCACGCTTCCGTTTTCTTTGAGCCAGGTGGTCAGGAGGGTTTACAAAGAATGCCTGGGCTCCCCCGCAGGTGCTGGCAGAGGGGGTAGTGATTGGTCCTGTGCCTCCACCTGCTCTGGGAGGGAGTCTTCCATCTCTAAGGCTGGCCCCTTCCTAACCCTCCACGTATTCTGTTCTCCAGACTTCGGAACCCCACTCCTAAGAGCAGTGGGGCCAGGCGCTTAGAGGAAGAGCAAATGCTGCCAGGACACGGATTATCCACAGAATACATTCTAGCATCGTATTAGGTATCTGAATCTGTTAGGAAAAAAAATTAGAAACTACGTATAAAACTTAAAAATATTC